TGGACCAAACAATTGCTCAAGGAGTTGAAATTTGGTGAAATCAGTCGGATGGAACTTGTGTGCGATAATCAAGTTGCCTTTCATATTGCATCAAATCCGGTGTCACATTGAGAGAACTAAACACATTGAGATTGATTGTCACTTCGTCAGAGAAAAGATACTTTCAGGAGAGATTGCTACAAAGTTTGTGAGGTCGAATGATCAACTTGCAGATATTTTCACCAAGTGTCTTACTGGTCCTCGTATTGGTTATATATGTAATAAGCTCGGTACATATGATTTATATGTATCGGCTTGAGGGGGAGTGTTAGTTTACAACATGTATATAGTGTAGTATTGTCCCACATTGGTAGAGGAGTAGTATGTCCATGTATAGTATAGCTAGAAATAAGGACCTCTTGTATTGTATTGTTCATTCAATATCAATAACATATTTTATCCCGTGCCTTCTCACAATGACTAGGAGCAGTTAGGCTTTGCTGAAGGATCATACCATTTCATTTACAAGAGGCATGCATGTGCTAGGGAATGAGAAATGTTGAAATTTTAGTTGGCCAAGCTCCAGAGCGTTTTCATGTTTCTTGAGATTAGATTTTTAAGGACTATGTTTGTTATTTTGAACATTCTATTTGACATTAGAAAAGACAATGTGGCACCCATTTTACGTGTCATGGGATCACAGTATATCATGGATGCACCTGCCACCTCATGAATGTAAGGACATTAGTGTTATTGACTTATGAAACATGGAAAGAGTTTTTCTTAATTATAAAATAAAAAACAATTTCTGGAAAAGAAATGTAGAGAGACAAATAAGTTAGTCTCTTCCTCCTTCCCACTAAGTTTTGTTTCTCCATTGCTGATGCACTTCAAATTGCTTTAGTACAAAATTCACTCTTTTTCTTTGTCTTTGTTTGTTTCTTTTAGTCAAATAACAGCTTTGTGCCCATGTAGCACTTCCTTTGCATTGTTTTCCGTTTGGTAATTCCTTTGCATTGTTTTTAAAGAAAAAATTGGGAGTCGGGAGTTGGGGAGGTTGTTTTCCAGGCTTGCCCCATGATTGACCCTCTTCTTCCATTCCTAAACTCATCTGGAGCATTGAAGACACGAGTAATCTTTTAAGTGCAGCATAACTACTCGGGGAAGGGGATCTTAGGGAAACTCTTGTTGATGCTAGTTAGATTATATATGAATGGGTACTGAATTCCTCTTTGCTCTCAAGATACCTGCGATATGAGTGATTCTTTCTAGTTAATGATTTACTTTGTCCCAAAAAACATTAAGTGACTCACAATGTGTGTTCTCTTTGTTCCACATCTTGTTCTATGTCCTTTTTTATCATGTCTCATTGAGCTGATAAAAGTCTTTGATGTTCCCTAATCTTTTAAGTCTAAAAGTGGTTTCCTGTTATGTAGGTACCTTTTGATTTTGTTTCGTGATGCACCAGTAGAAGTTTGGGCTATGACTAAGACACCAATCATGGTAAATATGTTCTTTCCCTTGTTCTCGCCATGATTCATGTCGAGTAAAATATGTTTCCGGGTTGTTGCAATTACTTTTTGGATCTTGATATAGCATTTTTTGAATTAATGAATGTATTGTGGATCCATTTAAAAAAAATGGAAGTATTGTGATTTGTAAGTTGACCTAGTCAATGAGATTGAGGCATAGTTTTTGATTTGACTGTGAATTCTAAGTGCTCTGAAGACGCTCACAGTGAATTGTAGTTACTTCCCCACCTTTTCTTTTGATGACGTGGTGTTCGGATTAGCTTGAGCTCACCTCAACTATTCCTTCAGTTACTTGCTACCTCCCATCAGCACAAGTATCGGGTAGCTCTTTCGCCAAGGCTTAGGAGGATGAGAAGAGATCACCTAGAATTTTTTGTTTGTCTCTGTCTCTGTTGGGATTTGGAACCTTGATCTCCAATATTTGCTCTATCTTCATTGACCACTGGGCCTGCATACTAGTTACTTCCCCACCCTTAACGGAAAAAGGAAAAGAAAAATGAGTTTGCTTTCCATCTTTTTTTCTGTGAGAAGTTCTTGCATGGCTAAACTTTACTTGATACTAAAAGAACTTTTTTCTGATTTAAGAAATGATTTGTTTAATTTGAGACTCCAGTAATAAAGGACCTTTCAGTATTGCTTGGTTCATTTTAGGATGTAGGACTTTGTGGGTGATTGTATCATCTCCAGACCAATTCTACCAGAATGATCAACCATCTTAAGTTTTTGTATTGCAAAGATAAACAACAACTACGCCTCAATTTGAAGCAAGTTGTGGTTGGCTATATGAATATTCACACTGATCATGTCACTCTATCTAGACCGGTAGCAATCCAATATCTGAAGATTTAGGTTCTCTAGCACTAGAAGTTCTCTATATTTTCTACTATCTTACAAATCTTTAGCCAGACTAAAAGACTCCCTAGTAAACTAAACATTAATCACAACTAATTGATGTCGCCTATATGGATTTTTTCTTCCATTGTGCTTTATTATGTGCTAAGTTTGCATGGATTCCAAGAGATTGTAGGTCTTTCGAGACAACTTCCTTCCATGAAAGTAGAATTTATCAGGTTACATCGATTAACTGCTGAGAATCCCAAGGGAGAGGACGTTCAGCAGTATACGTGCACTGGAATTAACTGTAACAGCCAAAATCAGTTGTTGCTTCATTCCAATAAATTAGTGAGAAAGAAAAGCTTTACGAAGCTAATATCCAGATTAGCTATGAAAATATCAGATTCTGCCACTTCTTGCTCCAGACATTCTTCTCACTTAGCCAGTCAGGCTTTTGAAAAAATGCTCCCTTGGAAAAAAAAGCGGAGCTTGTATTAGAATTCGAAGCGTGGATGTGAATGCTTTGCTATTTAGGATTTGCTTACCATGTAATTCCGTGTCAGTTCCTTTTCAGTCATGTGCTGTTTCTGTATCTAAACACGCTAAGTTACTTGTAAAAACTTATTCCACAAATTGATTTGGCTCTGAACTGGATTGTCAACTACCTGACGGAGATGATACCTTCGACCAAATGCTTGTAGCTAAGCTAGTGTCACCAATACTCCTGAAAAAGCTGAGTATTAATCCCCCTTGCCTGATGTTTCCTTGTTTATTGTTAGAGAAGAATTATTTCACAGAAATATAATTGAAGTATAGTAGAAATATTACATCTTTTTGTCTGCCTGGTTGGTCTTACTTTGCATTGCATTCTTTATCTTTACTTTCCAGCTTTTATTGTATCATATTTTCAATGCAGCTTAGATCACTAGCTCTCCCGTTCACTGTGCTAGAATGGACTCTTCCAACAGTACCACGGCCAGTGCCTAAAGATCGTCCTGCCGTACCATCAACAGAAACATCCTCCCCAACAAAAGCAGCAGATGCTAGTGAGCTCAGCATACTTGTTTTTTCACTCATTACTTAAATATATATTTCTTTATCTGACTTACAAACGATATCTTTTACGATCTGTTGTTTTCTGTGATGGCTAATACTGAAGGAGTAAATTTTTGACTGCAGAAGGAGCTGGGACAGATGGATCTCAAGATGAATTTTCAGAAAGTTTCTCTTTTGCACTAGTCAATGGTGCACTAGGGGTTTTCGAGGTTCATGGTCGAAGGATCCGTGACTTCAGGTATCTTCTTCTAATGTTTATAAAACTATGATGGTCGATTAGTTAATATTTGTGGTCTAACTGTCTAAGTCAATTTTCGTCCAGTCTTGTAGAATTAGTTACAAATATTTCCCTTCTGATTTCATTTTACTGAGGACTATTACATCCAATCAAATTTTGCGGGTGGTAGGGAGTGTATTTGAAAGCATGGTCTAAAGCAATGGAAGAACAATTGACTTTTGATAGTTATAGCCATGCCAGAAAATGCGAAGGTATAATGCTTCTTTATCAAAAATGAATATTTAGATATAACGATTGATTCAAAATTATGAATCAATATTAATTTGGTCAAAGAGCCGACCTTTAGATTAGCTTCCTTTGACCCTTCTATGTATATCTGTCTGTGTATTTATTTCTCTTTCAAGTTGGGCAGAAACTCATTAAATCTTTTCTTGTTTCTACTTTTAAACCTAATGCAAAGGTTCTTTTGCCGATCAAAGTATGCAGAGATGTTGTAATCTGCTTAAGCTTCCAGCGACTCAGCTGTTGAACGGACAGTTCTGAATGGCCTATATGCTGTGAACAGGCTGATTATATAATAGGAATTTAAAGTGTATCCCTGTGGCCTGTTAGCAACCAATGCAATTGATTAGATAATTTTGGTGTACCTATGGTCTTCCTTTAATTCTGAGCTCCAGTTTAAATCTTTATTTATGACTTGGTAACAAAAATTAGTACCTCATAATGTTTTTTCAATTGTAGTGCAAATCTCTGATCTTCTTTTATGAGGTATCTGTTGCAGTGAGTGCAAGATATTAGATCATCAGTGGTCTCTATTTATGCATGAAAATTTATAACAAGAAAAGAAAAATGCTGGAGTTGTAGGATAAGTATGTCCTCAGAGAATGGGGGTTAAAAGATGGCAGATTACATTGGAGGACCTGCTGTCAAATCAGAATGTAAATATCTCCAAGATGTTGCCTTGGTTCTCACTGTAGGAGCATTCTCTTTATTGTTAGTTGGGATAACTTTTTTTTAAACTATTGTTTGACTAGAAATTCCTAGATTTCTACTACTACCTTGATGCTTTAGTTCTAGTTTTTCTATTATCTTGTTGGTATTACTGCTTTTTTGACTTTCTCACTACTGCGTTTTTTTCTCTATTCTGTTGTGATTGGTTATGCATGTTTGCTTTGAGCCGAGGGTCTATTGAAAACAGCCTCTTCAAGGTAGGGGTAAGGCTGCGTAAACACTACCCTCTCCAGGCTTCACTTGTGGGATTATACTGGGTATGTTGTTGTTGTTGTTGTAATTTGACTAGAAAAACAAATGGGTGAAGTGAGGCAGCAAAAGAAAGTGTTGTAAAGGAAATAGGAGTAATACTCCATGACGCAGCCAACGCCAAAATAAACTGATTATTCAGTTCTATTTTGATGTATGATGTCAATTAAATAAGTATTTCTCACGAATGATCTTGGTCAAATTAAGTATGAGGAACTGAAGAAAATTAAAATACTTGTAGTAAAAAAGTGTGTTAATTTTCTTCTGCTTCTGGTATGGTTCAATTTGCATATCGTGATTGTTATAAATTACTGTCAGAGCTTTACACTAACCTGGGCTGGTAGATTAGTACTATTTTCTTTTTCTTTCTTTGGCATAAACAGTTGTATTTTTGACTTGCTCATTTAATATTCTTTAATTTCTGAAGAGCAGAGGGCTCTTTTTCTTCTGGCATCACCCCTTAGGCTCCCTCGTCCAGTAAAAATGACCCTAGTTCACCTGCTTGTAAATTCAGAGGAAAGTACATTGGTAGAAATTTTTTCTTAAGTAGTTAGAAATGCACCCCAAAAGACAAATGAAAAGAGTAATTGTTTGAAAGATATAGCATGAAGCTTGAAATTGTATAAATAATATCGATTTTTGTTAGGTTCAATGATAAGTAAAGATGTCAAGTTTCTGGGACAATCTAAAAGAGAAGTGTAGGTCACTTCTTGTGAAATTCTTTTGGGTGTGTGTGTGAGAGAGAGAATCAGATTACCTTACCTTTGAATCTGCTTATCTCTTTCTGTGTCTTTGTTTTACTATCAGCTGTACTAATGTACCTCGCATAATGCTATTGTCATTTTTCCAGACCAAAGTGGCCTTCATCTTCATTTGTTTCATCTGAGGGATTGGTGACAGCAATGGCCTATCGGCTGCCTCATGTGGTATGTCATGTGTTCTTTTTACATTGAAGTGTCACTTTCTGTCTAGTTGCTTATTTGTTAACAAGGTTGGCAGTTATGCATCCGTTCTGCAGGTTATGGGAGACAGGTCTGGAAACATACGTTGGTGGGATGTTACTACTGGACAGTCGTCTTCATTTAATACCCATAGGGAAGGGATCCGCAGAATCAAGTTCTCACCAGTTGTTCCTGGAGATCGTAGCCGTGGGCGTATTGCCATTTTATTTTATGATAACACATTCTCGGTGTTTGATCTGGTAAGCGAGAAATTCCCCTTGTTGATTTCTTTGCATGTGCCTCAATATTCTGTGTGCTTTTGTGTCCTCCTTTATATGGAAGTCGAGATATTTGAATTTGTGTAGGTTTCCCCATCTTCAAAATACAGATAATGAGATACATAATGGTAGCTGAGTTGCTATACTTTTGCTTTGCTGATTAAGAGTATAACCAGTAGTATCAGAAATCCCAATGCTGCTTCATTTTGAACATTCCATTACCCCTATCTCAAGTTCTTTGCATGGGTTTCGCCAAAAGTCTCAAGGATTGGCTGTTCAAAGGTTTTATCTTAAAGTCTGGCACACAGTTCTAATTGCTTCTAAACTATATCGCTTTTCTCATTTGCAGGACTCGCCCGATCCATTAGCCAATTCACTTTTACAACCTCAATTTCCTGGAACTCTTGTGTTGGAACTCGATTGGTTGCCTTTGCGATCAGATAAGAATGATCCACTGGTGTTATGTATTGCTGGAGCTGATAGCAGCTTTCGCCTTGTTGAAGTCAATATGTATGTCCAAACAAGCTTACTATTCTGTCTTATTATCTGTTTTATCTGTTCTCCCGGGTTAAAAATAGCATCTTTCAGTAAAAATTGAAATGTACCAACCTGCTGGAGAAGGAAGCCGCTTGCCTACTCTAGACTCTGGAATAATTGCAGTGTTGGTTATAATACACTTTCTTGTCCTCCTAGATGCATGGTCACAGATAAAGTAAATGCTTGTCTGGAGCCTTCATAAAATAAGTAAATGCTTGTCTAAAGTTGCCAGAAGAATACTTTATCTCGGTTTCTGCTTTTTTTATCGTCCGCAATCGTGCTTAGGAGTTGGCACGAGTTCATCATGATTTGATTGGTTATTTTATTCTGTGATGCTGTTTCAATTTGTTCTATTACTGGTCCTTTTCAAGAAGGTTCCTTAATTTTAATAATTTGGTATTCTGATTGTCTCTGTCACACTCGTTTTTTTTTTTGGGAAATTAGCTTTAGCTTCTTTGAATTGCAGTCATTACCCGCTACATTTTAGAGAATCCTGATACTGTAATAAACTTCCAGAAACTGTTAAAGGTCCCTGCGTTAGCCTTGAAACTAAGGAATGCTAGTCCGTATAACACACGGAGAACAACTTAAGTGAATCCTGTGGTTGTCTGATATTGTGCAATTTCTACTCCTGGAGGCAGAAAATTGATATTTGCAGTATGAATGGAAATACTAACTTGATGCAATTTCTTTTACATTCTCCAATAACCCAAAATAATATCTAATTTTGTTAGGGGTAAGGTCTGCGTACACACTACCCTCCCTAGACCCCACTTGTGGGATTATACTGGTTTTTTTGTTGTTCTTGTTGTTGTTATACTTCAAACTTTTGTCTATTCTAGATATATTTGTTTTACAGAGTTCCTGGTTCCTGAACTTGCATATCTTTGTAAAACTGTTTTTTGCTTATGCAGAAGTGACAATAAAATGGTCCATGGTCCCCAAGCTCGACCACTCAAAGAGAGATTTCGACCGGTGCCTTTGTGTTCTCCCATATTACTACCCACACCACATGCCCTGGTAACTTTGCTTTCACTTTTTTCCACCAAGCATGCTAAACTAATATAGTTAGGACTGCTTTATTGAGAAAAATGTTTTAAATATGTTATGTGTCAAGCATTGGTAGGGGGAAGTTGTTGCCTCTTTATATGGTCCCGGAGAATCCTCACCTCATGAGCTAGCTTGTGAGGTTGAGTTAGGCCGAAGGTCCATTGTTTTTTTTAATCATTGTATCATAGCCAGACTGAATTGTTGTGTTATCCAATGTTGGCCCCTATGTTACGTTATTCACGCCTCGAAAGTCCAGTCTTGGCGTGCCCGGATTTTTGGTTTCCCATGTTGGTTGAGGTAATGAGCGGGTTTCTACTTATATGGTCTTTGGGAGTCCTCACCCTAAAAGCTAGATTTTAGGGTTGAGTTAGACTTGAAGTCCATTTGACTTGTCAAAATTAACTATTTGGGTTAAGGTTGTTAAATAGTACAATTATCGGCCTTTTTGTTGGCATGCAACAAATCCTGTAGCTTTATTTTCGGTAAAGAAAAAAAGTTCGTATTAAAGTGGATATTTTCTACTGCAGGCATTACGTACCATCTTACAGTTAGGTGTGAAGCCGTCATGGTTTAATACATGGAGTACAACGCCAGATGATGCTAACTACCAAGTTCCTGGAACTCCAACAGCTGGAGATCTTCGTAATCACATGATTGAATCACCCCGTATTGGTGACTCTGTAGTGCCTGAGATGCTTCTCAAAGTACTGGAACCTTATCGTAGAGAAGGTGTTATTTTTGTGTAATCCATATTATGTTGTAGAATGTATAGTCGATCAGCATTTACATTTAACTGTGTAAAAGACAATACACTTGGTGAAGCATTTGACATGTTTCATTGTCTGTTACTCAAGGGTGCATACTTAATGATGAGACGGTTAGACTGTATGCTGGGCTAGTGGATAAAGGTTCTGCAGTAAGGTTTGCCTTTGCTGCTGCTATATTTGGTGAACCCATGGAAGCTCTTTTCTGGCTGCAATTACCGCGAGCTCTAAACTACTGGATGAATAGATTGACTAACAAGTCTCCAACAAGAGTCCCTCAATCAGCTTCAACTTCAGAACTTGATGAAGTATCTATGTTAAATAGGATATCATCAAAGGGAAAGTCAGGGCCTGGAAAGGGAAAAAATAATGATTTGGTTAGTTTCAATGCTGAATATTCATGAAACAGATAATCTGCATGTAGTTTGACTGTTTAACTATGTGTCTGCACTCAAATTTCGTAGGAATGGTTTTCACCTTTTAAGTTAGGTGCCTTTAGTGGCTTGTCAAGAAATAAAGGAAATTAGGTGCCTTTAGTTCTACTCCCAGACCCAGGATATTGTATTGATCTTATGGCTTCTCACTGGCAGGGCAATGGTCAACTTCAACTGATGGCCTTTGAACAACAAGAGTTGTGGGGGCGTGCTAATGAGCAGATTCCTTGGCATGAAAAGCTGGAAGGAGAAGAGGCAATTCAAAACCGTGTACACGAGTGAGTGTCCTCTATATAACTGGTCTATTTGTATCTTTTTATGCCAGCACGCCAGGATTATTGGTCAATGAGGTTGACAGGGTTGAGCTAGTTCAGTTTGAACTTAGATATTGTCCAATCTGTAGGGTGAGGAATAGATGGCAATAGATGATTTTANTCGGCAACTGAGCTCTCACGCGCCGCCAACTCGCGTGTCTTTCCGGCGAGATTTCAGCCACGCGCCGGCGCGTGTGGCCTTTTCCGGCGACTTTTCAATTTTTTTCTTGAGACAGCCTCTTCTCGAGGCATTTCCGAGCCATCCCGTGCCAGTTTTACCAAATTCCGACGACTTTTTCTTTTTCCGGCCTTTAAACCCCAGTTTCTGACGATTGTTTCCTTTGTTCAGTACGAGAAAACCTTCCTCCCTTCATATATACTGTTTTCACCCACTGTGAATACTGTTATCCCGACTATTGAGGCTTTTTCCGGCCAGTTTTTCCGGGACAGCCACATTTAGAATATGATGGATTGTACAGAGANTGATGGATTATACAGAGAGAAGCTCTTTTTCTCTCTAGAAAACTGGAAAATATGTCTTTTATGAAAGCTGTCTCTTGGCCAGCCCTAGAACTTGGGGGAAGATGCCATCGAAAGCTCGACGTAGGACAGGAGCCGCACTTCACGCTGTCCGAGGAGCACACTCTCAGGCGCAAGGGTTTCTTGGAATCTAGTCTCATTGGGTCTTTCTCCAAATGGGTTGGTTCTCCGGAGGCTGTTAGGAACTGGGCAGCAGAGGCATGGAACGTCAAGGACGGGCTGAAAATATCGCAATTGGGGGACACTCAATATCTCTTTCGTTTTGTTGACAAGTCTCAAGCTTCGGAAATTCTTGTCAGAGGAAACAGGTGGTTCGATGGGAACTTTTTAAATCTAGACAGATGGGTGGAGCATGATGGGTGTCTTGACCCTCGCTTCACTGGCGAAACATTGGTGGTCAACATGGTGGGTCTCCCGGTGCATCTTTGGTGTCTTGACCTATTCAAGAAGATAGGGAAAATCTGTGAGGTTTTTATTGATGTCACTTGCAGTTTACACGATCTCTCGTGAGTGAGGATTGTGGTGAGGAAAGGGAGCAGAATCCCTGTCTCCACTGTGGTGGAAGATGGCTACTTGAGTTATAGGGTTTGGTTGAGCCCTGAATTTCGCCCTATCTTTATGCCTGTGATAGCGACGGAAGAAAAGGGAAGGTCAGATAGAAGGGAGGGGAGGGGAAATCAGTCTCTGAGGGGAGGAGAGGGTTCACCGGATCACTGGATTATGCCGGAATCAAACGTTAGATCGAGAAGAGACGGGAGGTTTGAAATTGGGGGAGGAAGACAAAATTTTAACAGGAGGAGAAGACGTGAATGGGTCAGTGAGGCGGGCTGGAAAGGCAGAATGAGACGGTCCTCTTCTACTTATTATAGGGCCGGGCATGTTTTCAGCAAGTATAGGCCTGAGCCTCCTCACATGGGCCCAGCAACTT